GGGGGGAGGCGAGAGGGCGGGGGAGACCAGCGAGGTCGACCGAGGCGGGGTTGCCGGGGAGGGGGGCACAGAACGGGGACTCTTGGAAAGAACCGGAGGGAGAGATGGAGGGAGGAGAGATAAGTCCAGAAAGACCCTGAAGGAGAGAGAAAAATCAGTGGCAGGAAGGAGAAAGAAGAGACGCAAACCTAGAGATTCAGAGCCGCAGAGGCCCTCAGAGCGGGGTCCCCGGGAGGCTAGCAGGAATTCGGGGGGCATGCAGCTCCCTCCTGCAGCCCCAGATGTCAGAAAACAACTAAATACCTCCACAGCCTCCTCCTGAACCCCTGCCTCAGTCTCCCTCCAGCCTGGCTCCTCAGCCTCCCCACCCCAAGAAGATCTTGCTTATCGCACCTCTGGGTGTGCGCTTTGCCCCAGCCCGAACACCTCCCATGGCTCCCTGAGGCCCCCCCCCCAGGCAGGGTCCCGCAGGGCAGGCTCAGGCCCACCCATCTCGCTAGCCTGGCTGCCATTTCCTTACTCTGTCTGTCTTCACTGAACACCTACTGTGTGCCTCAGACAATTGTAAGCTAAGCCCTGGGAATTCGGGAGTAGCTAAAAGGGACCGAATCTTTGTTGTCACAGAAGGAACTCGTAGCGAGTGGGGAAAGCCGAGAATGAGAAAATCTCTGTTGATTTAAGTTTTGCGTAAAGATCAAGGCTGCGAAGATAAATCAAGCTGGAGGGAGGTGGCGATGGCAGAGAGTGAGGTGGCTCTGGGGACAGTGTGTGCCAGGCAGAGGGAAAGGCCCTGCAGAGGTGAGACCCTGCCTGGTCACCCTTGGGCATGGAGAAGAGGCCAAGCATGGTGAAAGTGAAGGCCATGAGAGGGGGTGGCCGTCAGCACTGGGTCCAGAAGCTTCTCTTTATCTTCTGCCCAATGGCTAAGATCCTGGACCCCGGCTCTAGGACCTTCTTGCGTCAGAAGCCAGATTCCATGGCTGTGTGCCCTTGGGCGAGTCACTGGGAGTGTCAAGCCTCAGTTTCCTTTTCCGTGACCCAGTCCTTCCTTCACAGGCATTTTCAAGAATTAGCTGAGAGCTGCAGTCGAAGCCCAGAGCCAAGGCCAGAGTGTAACAGGTGTTCGGCAAGTCGCAGCTGTCTGTTACCTCGGCGACCTGGTCTTCCCTCCACTTAGTCCCGGCTGCTCCAAGTGGGGCCAAAGCTCTGCCAATCCGGGGCAGGAGACCCGGCTGTGGCTCTGCCTTACTTTGTGACTTGGACAATTTTCTGCCCTTCCTTGGGCCTCAGCGTTGCCCTCTGTGCAACAGGGAGAACGGGAGATCATTTTGAGGTCCCGGAGGTCCCTGAGGTCCCCAGTTCCAGGGTCACTGCAGCATGCCTCCTTTGTTTCTGCTCCAAGTCCACGGTCAAGCCGCAAACACCTAGACCCCCCAGGAAGGAGGAAGGCCACGCAGATGTTTCAGGCAGCAGGTGTACCTGGCCACCCTGGACTGAATGTTTAATGTGTCACATCCTAGTTACAGCTCATATTCCAAAGGTGTCCTCAAGGCCCTGCTGAGCCTTGGGGGCCAAACCCTGAGGAGGGCGGAGGCCGGAGCCTGGCCCTGAACAGCAGGGGTACTCGTGGTTGCCACGAGTCCCCTTGGGGTGCAGGAGAACGGTGTAGGGACTGGGCAGGGTCACTCAGGCCACTGAGGCCCATGGGATTCTCCAACGCTGAGGACTTTAGAGCCAGCGTGAGGGCGTGGATGGAGAAACAGGCACAGAGAGATCTAGAAAGACCCTTGGAAAGGGGGAGGTCGGAGAAGGGGAGGGGTCTTGGAGAAGGGATTCCCAGAAGGGAAGAAGCCTGGGAGGAGGACGGGGTAGTCAGGAAGGGATGGGTTCACCCCAGTCCCCGCCGCTCCCCTCCCCTAAAGTCACCGGCCCAAGGAGCTGGGAGCGTCGCTCCTCCTCCCTGAGCCCCACCCCTCCCCCTCGCCTCTCTACCCCCTCCTTTCTATTCCTCCTTCCCGCCCTCCCTTCCTCCCATCCCCTTCCATCCCCCCTTT